TTTTCTCTTCTTGAAATGTGAATCATGGTTTATTTGAAACACCTTTCACATCCAGCCACCTGCAAGTCCAGTTACAAGACTGGACGTCCAGAATGAATAGATGTATAAGGGTTCCATCTGAAGCTTAAATTAAGTACTTGGGCGATTCTATTAAAGATTTACTGCTTTGCAATGACAGAGCAACACCCGAGGCCAAACTAAAAATTAAATTACAAACAAAAATACTTAAAAAGCAGTATTTTTACAAGAAAATTAGTACTCGGGCTACAATAGGAGTAACTGATACAGACTGTTTTTTKGGACTTCTTCAAAAAATGGAAGCAAAGCCTGCATGTGACTACTGTTACTTTTTTAGACCAAACGGCATCACAGGAGGACCATACAAGCTTTGAGAGCTGGTCCAGCAATGTATATCTGACATTGGTCAAATATTTGTATAGGAAATCGCACGATCTCGAGTACAATTTGGAAAATAATAGACACGAGTWATGTTTTGAAAGTTCTTGTAATTGCACGAGCCTTTAGGCGAGTGCAATTAAAGAACTTTCAAAACATTACGAGTGTCTATTAATTCCAAATTGTACGAGAAGCTCGTGCGATTTTTTGTTTATAGTTCACTCAACAAAATTTCAGTATAAAATGCGAAGCGACGCCGTTCATCTTTCTCTATTTGGCGGCCGATTTTCAGTCCATCGCGCAACTGAAATGCATAAAAAAGATTAGTTCTTACGGCTTTAAAATTTTATTTATAAGTTTTTTAAGTACGAAATGATAGAAAATAATTGTTTTGAAATTGTTTTGGCCGTGTTGCCATAGCGACTTAATTCGGTACTCCTACGGAGTACAATTAACGCTATAATTGTACTCCTCTCGACCAATCAGAGTTGAGTAATTTTGTTGAGTGTACTATAAGTAAATTTATAGCAGTTTTTCATGTGATCACGTGACTGATGACGTCATATGTCACATAATTGGCACTGTGTGTAAGCAGTGTCCGGCAATGTATGTGTGTCCAAGTTTGACTGACGGTGGTCAAATATTTGAAGAGTTATTACAGTTTTWATGTAGTCACGTGGTTGATGACGTCATATGTCACATGATTGGCAGCCATGTGTAAGCAATGTCCGGCAATGTATGTCTGTCCAAGTTTGACTGGCAGTGGTCAAATATTTGTAGAGTTATTACAGTTTTTGTAGTCACGTGATTGATGACGTCATGTGTTAAGTAGCCACAAAAATGCTTCTTCCTGTCACTTGCCACTCGCGTTTTTCTTTGCCAATATGTAACGTTTTTCATTTCCCTGAGGATGGCCGAGTAGGCCCGCGAAAGCTCGGAACATATGTATTAAATCTATGGTTGATAAGACAAATTATTATGAATGTAACAACAACCAACAAGGAAGTATTTGATTTCATTTGAATAAAGTTTGGTAGCTAGTTTGGATTCGATAGACTGCGCTTGCTACTGTACGTCATTTTAATAGCAGCTATAATAATAGGAAGTAAAAAACCATTAAAACTACTTACGAGGCCACCATGCTCTGCCATCCAAGGAACAACACTGATCATCAGGACTTTTTCCATTATTTCTTCAATGTCAGACATCAGTTGTTTGAAGTTCCTGGTGAAYGAGAATCGTACACACACGATCTCTGAGCAAATTTGAACGACCTCCAACGCTGTCCACGGTCTGCGAAGTTAACACTTCTCTCAGAACTGGAAATTTTTGTTGAAGGAGGTTATTGACAACTACGTGTAGTGGAAAGCCATTTTGTACATCTTCGTGTAAAATTTTAACGCCACTCGAATGGCTTCCTCTTCGGTTAAACRGGTACTGTGCAATGAAATCAGTCTCACGTACAGGGTTGGTTTTGATTCCAGATGTGAAATCCAAATATCCTTCAATCACCATTTGTACACAGACTCTCGTTTCGTACAGTTTTAGTAACTCTACGACATCGTAATGGTTAATAGCTAAGGCAAAATCCTTCAATTGCTTAACATCGTAAGCCGATATGACTTGTTCTTGTATGAGAACTTCGAAGACTTCAAGAAAACTATCGCAAGAAGCAGACTCCGGCAGCACTTCTCTGTAAAAGAAACGCAATTCASGCTCATGTGGAGTCAGCATGCGGTGGACTTGAAGAATAGTACATGGAAAGGAAGTATTTAAGATATTATTCATTTTTGACATTATCACAAGATAACAAACCAAGTATCAAGAAAACAAACTAATGGAATAATACGAAGGTTTGCTGTCGAGGGCCGGGTATTTATAGCGAATAGCATAATCACGTGATAATAATACACAGAAAAGCATGACGGGAAGTGGGTCTTCCCCAACGCTAAAGAAATAATTAAAACAACAYAAACCAGAAACAAAATCCAGTTTTATTTCGATAAAACTGCCCTAAGATCCTTTTCGTAACTTCTYAATAATTTTCCAAAGTTTTTAATAATTTGTCTTGCTTTGTCAATGAATTTTCTAGCTTTTTTCATCTAAAAATCATGTTTTTTTCTGCGTCTTTTGGTAATGATTAAGATTCCCATTTTCCAGATACAAAAATAAAAAATACGTCGTGAATACGTAATAATTCAAATTTGAATTTCTTACGTAATGTGATTGGCATATCAAAGTGATTTGGGCTACCTCTATGCACGTTTGTTGCTGGGGATCTGGACCCCAGTGTATTCAATAATAAACTCCAACAAAAAATTTAGTTAAAACAWGGGTAAAAAGCTCGCCACAAATGTGCTAAAATGTCATCATAGATCCATTAACCAGCCGCTTTAAGCTTCAGAAATMCCTAACGTAGACATTCATGAGTTCATTAAAGCTAAAGAAAGAAGAAAATGGTAAAGGAACAGCATATTTTTGGAAGTCAACAAGTATTGAGCCTCAGATCTCGTCATTAAGCCTTCGCCATGGGATTTCAAAGGTTGCACTCGGTAACGAACACACCTTAATTCTGACTTATAACTCCGAAGTTTTCGCTGTTGGGGAGAATTTTTACGGACAGTTAGGATTCGGGGACGTAACTCGACGRTCACAGACGACACGGCTTACCGAATTAGCAGGGAAGAATGTAGTTGATATTGCTTGTGGTGCTTATCATAGTKCTGCTGTTTGCGAAAATGGTGAGCTTTTCTGTTGGGGAGATTCTTCGAATGGACAGTGTGGTATTGGAGATATYAAATGTACTAATGTACCGACTCTAGTAGTGTTTAATCCTGCATTATCACCCACATCAAGGCCAAGATCTCGACCTGTGGAATCTGAAGATGCAAAACTTTTGACTGATAAATTATCTTCATCTTCATTAGGAACCCAAAGCATTGATCAAGATGTTCCTAAAATRAGAGACGTTGCTTGTGGTGATGGTCATACTCTTGCACTAACTTCTAGTGGTAGAGTTTGGTCTTGGGGCATGGGAAGTCAAACTGGACACGGTGTGCAAAATGAATGTATTAGGGAGCCGAGAGAGGTTGAAGGTCTTAAAGGTCGATATGTCACTGCCATCAAGTGTGGTGCATATCACAGTATTGCACTGGTTAGAGATGCATCTATACATCCAAAACTTATACCACAAAGGAATGAGAAACTTTTCCAGGGATCTTCAGGAAAGAAACGTAGTAAAAGGCTTCGGAGGTTCAGCYGCTCTAAGGAATCCACTAAAGGATTAAAAAAGACACAGTCATTGCTAGAAAATCCAGAGCTCAGTCCAAAAGCCCCCACAGCAGAAATTAGACGAATTCATGTGAACACGTCACCRAAGACTTATCTCAGCTATGATCCTRTTGGCAGTGAGTTAAGCAGCGAAAATAGGACAACAGTTAGTGAAAACTTGGTGCAAGATAGTGGGTTAGGAGAAAMACATGAATTAGCCAATCCTAGTACTAACGATATAAGGGACATGAGTGTAAATAATGAAGAAATTGAACTGGACATGCTCACAGATAAAGATGAAAGTTCTAAAAGTGATGGTCAAAAAGTAGATGTTGGTAATGAAGCAAGTTCTCAAAATTTAGAAAKAAAAGGATGTGACAAGGAGTGCAACTCTGATAAAATTGTAAAAGATGATAGAGATTTGGAGGAAGGCCCTGCAAAGGGCGATGATGGTGAGTTAATTGATAATGATACAAGAGTTGATGTGATCTCCACAAGAGGTAAAACAGAAAGAGGAGATTCTATTGTGTCAGGGGATGATAATACTACATCTTTACTCTCTGACGACAATCATGCATCAGTCGTATCCCAGTCGGCATCGGCAAGTATACCCATTAACCGACTTAGTATCAATGACAACCACTACRGCTTCCCAGAAATGAAGCGGTCCCMATATGCCTATCTTGAAGGAAGCTCTCCAGARCCATCTCCTCCTCAACCTGGGTTTCTCAACCAAAAAAACTTTGACCACGTTAGTAATGATTTATTTGTAACAACTGAAGTATCAGGCAGCTTGTATGAGACTTCRGCACTGTTTGAAAATGTTGAGCCTGGCTCACTTACTAGTGTTAAGAGTGGGGGAACAGACTCTGATCCTGAAGATGTGTCTCCAACAGCAGAGGACAAGAACAGCCAGGGTAGCTCATACTTGGGCTTCGGTATACTTGCAAGCCGTTTTCGACAAGAAATGGACCTTGGTAAACTGACCAGTGCTGTTTATGATTCAGTGACAGGAATGTTTATGTCATCAGCATCTACTTTTATTCCCACACAAAGTGATAAATCCCTAACGCAAGGAGGAAGTTGTTTGAACTGTGGTGTTCTAGGAATCTGTATTTGTAATGAAGAAGTTACTAAGAAGGAAAGAAAGTTCTGTCACGAAGGATATGATACTGAAGTTTGGACATGGGGGAGGGGTGGGTGTGGACAGCTTGGTCATGGAGATACTGAAGACAGGTAAGTGAACTTATTTATAAATAATAATTAMCCTCAAATCAAGGGAAAGAGATCCAACAAATTTTACTTGACACATATTTTGTACTGTCAGTTCAGAAAAACTTAGACCCCCAAAGTAACTGGTTTGAGCAGGGTTTTCAATAAAATTTTTGGTAGGCGGTTATGAAATTGGAATAGGCGGTAAACCAGAAATCACTGGAGCATGTAATTGAGGCATACTTGTCACCAGTCTCACTCTTCTCACAAAAATAAAAGAAGTTGTAGTTTCGCTTGCGTTGCAGTTTTTGTAGTACAGCAACAAAGACATTTTGCTACATTACATTKGGRARKKG